CACTCCAGTCCACCGAGAACGGACGCTTCGTCGACGTGGACCCGCCGCCTGACAAGGAAGAGACTCGCCGAGACTCGCCGAGAGTCGCCGAGAGCGACCCGCCGCCCGACAACGGCACCCACTTCTGCCTCTCTCCTCACCTCTGCCCCTCCCCTCACGTCGCTCTCACTTACCGCCTCTCCTTCCCTGCCGCCTCTCCTTCCCCCGCCTCCCCCGCCTCTCTCACCCGCCCGCGCCCCTCGCAGTTCGCTCTCTTCGCGCACGCCGACTCGACGTCGCTCTCTCTCTCGTCCGTCTTCGCGCTCCCGTCCAGCGGGAGGGGCAGCCTCCTCCACCTCGCCGCCGTGTCGAGATCGCCCGAGACCACACCGAGATCACTCGAGATCGTCCGATACTAGGCAACCTCATCTCGCTCGGAACCGAGGCGTTCGTCAGCCTCTGCCAGGACCTGCAGCACCTGCCTCCCAGCCTGCCACCGCCCGCCCGCCACCGCCCCATCCCGCCACCGCTCCCCTCGCCACCGCCGCCGCCGCCGCCGCTTTCGCCCTCGCCACCGCTTTCGCCTTTGCCACCGCCGCCGATTCCCGCCCCTGCCGCCTCTTCCACTCCCATCCGCCAGCCTGAGGGCGCTTACTCATCGACGGCGCCTCTTCACACCTCCCTCCTTGAGCAGGACAACGTCGGCCTCGAGTGGGCCGCGTGCACCGCGACCCCACCGATCCTAAAGGCGTGGCGCACCAGCCGAGATGGCACGAGATGGCACGAGTTGATCGGAGGCGCCCCTCCCCCCCCTACCGCCTTCGGCCTTGAGTTGCTTGTCGCTCCGCCCCGATCACACAGGCGCCAAGGGCGATCGAGCCTTCGCTCGCGTCGGCGCACCACCGCAAGCTGCTCGTGCACCTGCCCTATTCGGGCTCGGCGCTATCCATGCAAAAGGTTGCCGCGTTCGAGCTGGTGCGCCTCTCGCGCACGTGAGGTGCGTCGCGCTGCCAAGGGGTAGAGAGGAGAGGGGAGTGAGCCTCGCCGGAGTGTGCCAGCGCCTCTGAGCCTCAGACTGAAAACTGAGCATGGCCGGTGCGACATAGTTGCCATCGCAAGGCCATGCACTATTCAGAATGGGACGGCTGCCGAGGGTTGGACTTGGAGGGAGAGTGCGGCAGAAAGTGGGAGCTGGGGGAGGAGCGAGATCGAAGATCGTGAACAAGCAAAGTTGCGGTTCGGGTGTTGTGACTTGTGTGTGTTCCTTTTATATGCTAGAGCCGTATATGCGGAGACATCTTATACATCCTAGGAAAACTACTAAAACTAGATCTAGAAAATGGTGAAAAAAAGAAAAAAGAAAACTCTTCCCTGCGCCCTGCGGCTGCGCGCTCCCCCGTCCCCGGCATATCCCGCGGAGCTCTCGGACCTGCGACCTGGTCACCTGCACCGTCGGACCCTCTGGGGGGAGGCGGGGGCCCCCGGAGGCACCGTGCGCCGCGCAGCAGTGCGGAAACGGGGCTCCGGCTCCGCTAGTCTCCGCTAGCACCGACTTCCCGATTAAGCTAGGTTAATCAGAGGGCAGATTTGGAGAGATCTCGAGGAGTACATACAGATAGACCCTCCAACCATCAGAAAACTCCGACCTGATCGGTCGTACTGACCGCCGACAGATCACTCCAGACAGCAGACAGGCCGACGTCTGCACGCGGCCGGCCGGGCGAGAGGCTTGACACGATCCGACCCTGCGACCCTGACGCTGCTGCTCTAGCTATCAGACATGCACTGCTGACTGCTGCCACAATGTGCGACCTGTGCTGGCCCACTTGGCGGCCTTCCCGGTCAGTGGTGAGGCGCAGTTCAGAGCTGTCGATGGCGCGATGCTGCACTGGTCCCACATTGGTGACACGAGACCACCAAGTTTGCCGGTCCAAGAGAGAGGCACCGGCGCTCTCCTGAGAAAGTGCATGGTCCCTCTTGTATGACTGCCCATGCGCGCGAGGCTGTGTAGGCATAGCCTCGAGAGTGCCAGCAGCCAGTCGCCGAGGCAGTTTGTGACGCGCATTGCGTCAGAAGCGTGCACGCGCTGGAAGGACACCTTGCTTCCTACTGGCCGTACGATCAGGTCGTCACTGAATGGTGGATACTAAGGCCGCGAGCTATGCAGGTGGTCAATTGCGCAGCAGGGCACGGTCAGCAGCGCCGACAGGCTGTCGCAAGGCGTGATAGCATGGCCGCAAGTACAGCGAATTCCCATGAAAACAAGTAAAAAATCGCGCAAAAAAGAAAAAAATCCCGAAAAAATCGGCGCCTGCGGCGGGCCATGGGACCCCATCTCCCCCCCGCATGGATGCCCTCTAGGGCCCTCGCCTCCCCCCAGAGGTCGGACCTCGATCCACGCGTCTCTCGTCGGAGGGGCGGCGGCGGTGAAGGAAGCCGGGTGGTCAGTGCTGTTTTTTTCTTTCCTTGTAAAATTCTTCTCTGACCTGGCCTCGCCTGGGTTCCGGCTCCTAGCCGGATAGGGGGTCTGTCGGGACTGGCTGGCCCCTCCCAGATAGGTAGGTAGGTTGGTCTTGTTTGGCCCAAAAGGGCCCTGCAATAGGTAGGTACCCCCTATTTTCATCTTTTTTCGCTTCGCTGCGCGGCCTGGGGATAGGTAGGTAGGTAGGGCGTTTTGGCGCGAGTCAGTCCGGACAGACCCCTTATCCGGCTAGGAGCCGGAACCCTGGGCCTAGCCGGATATCGGGCTTCCCGGTGGACGCGCGGCGCGGCGCTCACGGCCGAGCTGCTCGACGCGCGGCTCGAGGCCGAGAACCATTTCACGCTGCTGACTTGAGACGGCCCGCCATGCTCTGCCGAACCTTGCTCGACGCGCTGCGCCAGGACAACCTGGGCTCGCTGCGTGCCCTCCTCGCCGAGCGGCCGCGCGGCCCAGCGCTCACGGCCCTGCTCGACGCGCGGCTCGAGGCCGAGAACCAGTTCACGCTGCTTATTATCGCCGCTTGGCACGGGCAGGCCGACGCCGTGCGGCTGCTGCTCGAGAGCGGCGCGAGCGTGGGGGCGACGACGGGCCGTGGCTCCACCGCGCTGGCCATCGCGTGCCAGGAGGGCCAGCTCGACTGCGTTCGGCTGCTCCTCGGCGCCAACGCTGACGCCGACCAAGCTAAGGACGGCGGCGCCACGCCGCTGTACATCGCGTGCCAGGAGGGCCACCTCGAGTGCGCGCGGCTGCTTCTCGAGGCCAGCGCGGTGGTCGACAAAGCCAAGAATACCGGCGCTACGCCGCTGTACAGCGCGTGCCAGAAGGGCCACGTCGAGATCTGCCGGCTGCTTATCGAGGCGCATGCGGCGATCAACCAAGCCAGGCCCGACGGTACCACGCCGCTGTACATCGCGTGCCAGAACGGCCGCCTCGAGTGCGCCCGGCTGCTCCTCGGCGCCAGCGCGGCAGTCAACCAAGCCCAGGACGACGGCACCACGCCGCTGTACATCGCGTGCCAGAACGGCCGCCTCGAGTGCGTCCAGCTGCTCCTCGAGGCGGGCGTGGCGGTCAACGAAGCAAAGGACGGCGGCTTCACGCCGCTGTTCATCGCGTGCCAGGAGGGCCACCTCGAGTGCGCCCGGCTGCTTCTCACGGCCAGCGCGGCGGTCAACCAAGCCAAGGACACCGGCGCCACGGCCCTGCACGTTGCGTGCGTGGAAGGCCAAATCGACTGCGCCCGTCTGATGATCGCCGCGGGCGCTGCGGTGAACCAAGCAGACGCTGACGGCTGGACGCCGCTGCTTCTCGCGTGCCAGGAGGGCCACCTCGAGTGCGGCCGGCTGCTTCTCGAGGCTGACGCGGCGGTTAACCAAGCCACGGACGACGGCTTCACGCCCCTGCACATCGCGTGCCTCGAGGGCCACTCCGCCGTCGTGCTCTGCCTGCTGCGGGCGGGCGCTGACACAGCGGCGCGCACCCCGGACGGGCGTACGGCGCTGCAGTGGGCCAAGGAGGAGGGCCACACCGAGTGCGTGTGCGCCTTTGAGGCGGCGGCGAGGGAGGCGAAGAGAGCGGAGATTGAGGCGAGGGTGGAGAGGGCAGTGGCCGAGAGGGCGGCGGCCGAGAGGGTGGAGGCCGAGAGGGGGGCCGAGGAGGCTGCGGCGGCGCTGCTGGCGGAGGAGGAGTCGGAGAAGTGCCCCGAGGAGAAGAAGAAGGCCAAGAAAAGGGGCAAGAAGAAGAAGCAGGGCGGCGGGGGCGGCGCTGGGCCGTCGCAAGAGGCCGAGGCGCCGGCAGAGGAGGCGGCGGGGGAGGCGGTGGCGGCGGAGGAGGAGGCGGAGCTGGCGGCGGCGCTCGAGGAGAGCGCGAGGCTGGAGGAGGGGAGGCGGGCGGCGGAGGCGCAAGGGCCGTCCTCGGCTGCCGAGGCGCCGGCTCCGAGGGAAGAGCCGCCGGCCGACTTCATCTGCCCGATCACGACCGAGCTGATGAGTGACCCGGTGATGGCGGCGGACGGGCATTCGTACGAGCGGTCGGCGATCGAGCGCTGGCTCGCGACCAAGTCGACGAGCCCGATGACGGGCGAGGCGCTCGTGCACACCTTCCTCGCCCCCAACCACATGGTGCGCCGGCAGATCCGGGGGTGGGAAGAGGCGCGGGCTTGATCGCGTCGGTCGAGCGGGGTGGGTGTGGCGCGTGTGGGTGCGTCTGGGGCTGCCACGGCTGGGCCTGGGGGCGCTGGGGGGGCGTGGCCAGCGCCACACTGTTTTCAAACATGTAGGCGCGTGACGCAAAATAAGCTGAAAAGACCTCATGCACCTCGAACCGCGTACTGTAATCGTACTCCTCCAGTCCGCCCGCCGCCTCCCGGATGTTACTGTCTGTACACTCGGTACCGCGCGGTTTGTGCGAGTCGTACATGCCGCAAGAGCCGACACGCGTGAGTCGACACACGACAGTCGAGACGCTATATACCACACGCTAACGAAAGTCGCGCCGGAACTGCTGCATCAGTGGTCACAGATCGTCGCAGGTCGCACATAGGAAGTGCACACAAATAAGAACAATACGTCACTCGTGTCATATACCCCACTCCGTCGGGTCGCGATCGCAAGGGATGTCTTTGGGAGGCCTCCCGCCGGTGCCGGTGCCGCCCGCGGCCGCGCCGCCGCCCCCGTCCCGCACATACCTCCATCGCAAGCTCCACCGCCCCTCGAAGCCGCCCAGCGAGCGGTAGTCTCGCCAGTTGTCGCGCGACCTCGCCAGCGGGGCGCCGTACGCGGACGACGGCACCGGCGGCGACTGCGGGAAGCGTGCGGGCGGCGGCGGCGGCTGTTGCGGAGACTGCGGGAAGAGCTGTGCGTACAGCGCCTTGCGCAGCTCGACGCGGCCGAGGGCACCCGTCTTGCGCCACTCGCGCTGCGCGAGGAGGATGAGCGAGCAGCCGAGGAGGCCGACGACGTGGTTCGCCAGCACGGCGCGGTCACCTGCGAGGAAGCGGAGCGTCGTGCCGACCCGGACCAGCGAGCCAATTAGTCGGAGCCGAACCTCTGCGAGGGTGGCGTCGTACTGGCCTGTGCGCCGCGTGTCGGCCACCTGCCCGTAGTACGAGACCACCGACAGCGGCACCGTCCACCAGCACAGCAGCGGCAGCAAACGGGCGGGCACGGCGCCAAACGGCAGCCACAGCAGAGCCGCCGCCGCGGCGGCAAGCAGTGCGCCCTCGCCCAGCGCCTTGCGCGCCGGCCGAGCGCCCGCGCCCGCGCCAGGCTCGGGGCCGGCGAGGCTGAGGATCGTGAGAGATCGCAGCCGGCGCGTGCGGCAGAGCAGGAAGCAGGCGGTGTTTTGGAGAAAGAGGACGAGCAGCTCCGACCAGCACCACATGTTGTACGCCATACGCGCGTGGTAGGCGGCGCGGGAGGCGTACACCAGCGCATCGACGTACAGCACGCGGGCGCTGCGCCCGGCGGGCGCGGTGGCCGCGCCGTGCCGTCGCGCGAGCCGCCAGATTTGAGGGAGGGCGGCGCGCGAGCGCGTGGCAAAGGCTGCGATCAGCATGGGGAGCAGAGTCGCGACGAGGGTGAGCCGGCACGTGAGCGCGGAGCAGACGGGGCCGACGACGTCGCCAACGATCGGGTCGGCGGCCCACAGGACGGCGTCGGAGAGGGCGCTCTGGTAGGCGGTCGGCGCAAGGGCGCGGCATCCGATGGAACTGGGCGAGAGGAGCGGGCGCGGCTGGAGCGCGAGGCTGCGCATCGCAAGCAGCAGCGTAAGCAGCGGAGGCTGGGCAAGCTGTGCCCTGCTAGTGGATGGGCAAGCTGTGCCTGTCACTATGCCTGTGCCAGCGGCGTGACACCCCTGCGGCACCCCCAACCCGCTGCTTTTTTTATTTTTGCTTTCGCACTCTTGGAGCTTCGGCACAACGGCTTCTCTCGCCGCCTTCCTACAGCTCTTTTGCTTTTTTGTCTACGACCCACGTCCCACGAGAAGGAAGTCGAGATACTAGGCTCGACAAAAACCAAAGCAAGAGAGAGAGAGAAAGAGAGAGAGAGAGAGAGAGAGAGAGAGAGAGAGAGAGAGAGAGAGAGAGAGGGAGAGAGAGAGAGAGATGGGGGGGGGAGAGAGGTCTGAAAAAAGAAAACCAAACTTCGCAGGGTGCCCAGCGAGTGTGGCTGCCGTGTGGTCAGGAGGTTCAGCGACACCGTCATTGTAGCGCCGCCGCCAAACTCCTTGATGCTCAACCTGCTCGTTCTCTCTCCGCTCTCGCTCGCCATGGCTCCTCGCGCTCCCGCCGAACTCAGCACGCGCGCCCGGGCCCACCTCATCCCGGAGCAGGATCTGCACACGACGACCGACCTCCGCATTGCGCACGCCCACCGCTGCGAGTCTCCCCTTCGAAACCCGTCGCCTTCGTCCGTCATCACGTCCTGGCCGACCTCCTCCTCTCCGGCGACGCCTCCCTGGCCGGCGCAGGCCATGTCGGCCAGGGCTTCGCGGCTCCTCTCGCCGGCCCACCGCCTCAGCGTGATGTCGCCTCAGGGCATCACTGTCTTCGGGGCGGGCATAAACATCCTGCTCTCCGCCCTCAAGCTGAGCGTGGGCGGCGTCGCGGGCAGCGCCAGCCTCGTAGCCGACGGCGTCCACTCCTTCTCCGACCTCGTCTCGGATGCCCTCTGCTGGGTTGCGGTTCAGGTCCCCAGCTTTGAGCACGCCTTCACGCTGGGCATCGCGGCTGTGCTCTTCTCCACCGGCGTGGGCATGGCCGCGATCGCACTGCCGGCGCTCTTTGCCGCGAGCGCCGCCTCTGCCGCCACCACGAGCCTCGTCGGCGCCATACCGGCCCTCTCGGTCGCGCTCGCGTCGGTGGCGTCAAAGGAGCTGCTCTTTTGGCTCACGCACGCGGTGGGCACGCGGCACCGCTCCCCCTCGATCCTCGCCAACGCGTACCACCACCGCTCGGACGCGCTCTCCTCGCTGGTCGCCGTCGCGGGCATCGTCGGCACCGCCGTCGGCTGGGCGCGCATCGACTCGCTCGCCGCGTCCGTGGTTGGCCTCATGGTGGCTGGCATGGGCTTCGAAGTCGGGCGCGACTCGCTGCGGCTCAAGCTCGCGCGTTGAGGGAGCGGCCGTTCCGCGCTCGGCGGCCGACTCTCTGTGCACTAGCGTCCAACAGCCCGTCGGTTATGATCGGAACTCTAGTGTAGCGCCACTCTGACTCTTTGGCACTGCCGCGGTCATGAGATGTGACCTCTCTGTCAACCCAGCCTCTTGGCATGCTCCATTCTGATTTGTGAAACAGCACAAAAGCCACAGCTACGGGTGGGCTCGCGGATGGAGGGGGGGGGGGGTAAAGGGCTATTCGTACTACGCACATATGTCATATCACGTTCAGGTTCACGACCACCTCTGCACACCTCGGTCCTCGCTCCTCGGTGTCGGTCCTCGCGGTCCTCGCACCACGCGACGCACGTCGGACGTCGGACGTCGCGCACCTGCAGCTGCACGCTGCGCACCTCTCTCTGCACTCAGGGTCTGTGTGGCCACACTAGTAGTACGTAGTAGTGTAACCAGTATAGAGTACTACTACTCTAGGGGGAGAGAAGTGAGAACGTTACACGCAACACCTCACGGGTCGGTTTGTACTTTGCGTGTAACGTTCTCACTTCTCTCGGTCGGTGCACCCGGGTCGGTTTGTACTTTTAGCTTACAAGGAGCGAAGAGGGAGAGGGGGAGTTGTGCTTTGTATACGCACACGGACGCACGCTGCCACTCTCACGTCTCAGCACGTGCACAGCCACGGATACGGTCTACGCACTACTCGCATGATGCCGCCTCCTTGGCTCAGACACGGGACACCTCGTTGAAGCCCGCCGCCGCAGCGTGGGGGCCATAGAGCTCCATGGTGACGGCCTCACATCGGCGGATGGCCTCGTGCAGCTGCTCGCCGTGCCAGAGGTGCGCCACCGTCGCAAAGGTATCCACTAGCTGACGCGTCGCAAACGCCTTGTCGTCGTACCTCGCGGCCTGACGCAGCCGCGAGGCGAGCGCACTCCGGATGGTGCGCAGGCTACCGCTCCTGCGCGCGTGCAGCTCGTCGCCGGCAAAGGGCTGGAGGAGTGGCACTCGCTGCCGCAGGGCGCTCTCCACGAAACGAAGCCGGATCAGGTGCTCGCGGTGCAGCGACACGATTTCGGCGGCGGCGGCGTCGCCGTTCCCCTCCGCACCGCCGCCCGCCGTCGACTCTTTGACTCTATCCGAGAGGACAGGGACGCCCTCCTTCTCGAGCGGACCCGGCTGCGTGGGTGGCGTCGGCGGCGACGCCGCCAGCTGTGCTGCCAGGCCGCTCATGAGGAGTTGCACGTAGTCGTACGCGCGGAAGAGGTGGGCGTAAAGCTGCATCGCCTTGGCCGGCGAGTAGTGGGCCTGCGGCTCCAGATTGACCTCCTTGCCCGAGGCCCACAGAAAGACCATCAGCTCGCCGCGCCGCGCGAGGAGCTGCGCCCGCCGCATGGCTAGCTCCTGTTCGAGGAAAGGGAGGTTAGCCGAGTTATGAACCATTGTCGGCCTGTGCCCGAAGTTCAGCCGAGAAACGGGGAGACGAGCACCTGCACGAGGAGCCTCGCGCGTGCGATCGCCGCCGCGGAGTCCTTCTGCGTCGCGCCCCCGCGGCGCAACTCGTTGGCGTGGACCAGGGCGGCTTGGCAGGTCGCGGCGACCTCCGCGAGGGCGTTCGAGACCGAGGCGTACCCCCACGTCGGGTTGATCAGGCTGCACGTGAGGAAGGCCATACAGAGCCCCGTCGCTGCTCCAAGCAGCTCGATGCTCACTGTCCTGGCGTACACGGCGAAGCTAACGAGCTGCGCACCATTCTGGCCGCTCGGGGTGAGCTTCTTGTTGGTCGCCGTTACCCACATGATGACCGTGATGTACGCCGCGTACGACATGCTCGGGTAGGCGGCCACGAAGAGGCAGCAAGCGGCCTGCAGCAGCCCCTGGAAGAGCACCATCCCTCCCAGCAGCAGAGGGTCGCTCAGGAACTCCTCTGCATCGCGCAAGCCGGTGTCAGTCGGCGCGCCGGAGCCGATGTCTCCGCCGCTGTCCTGAGCGGCCGCCGTCCCCGTGGAGACGAAGAGGCCGTACCAGACAAAGGCGAACGCGACGGCGACGAGGTTCCCCGCAACCTTGGCCACGGCCTTCCACCCGAGCGCGCCCACTTGTGGGCTCACGCTGAGCGTCACGACGGAGGCGATGGCGGAGACGCCGCCCATTTTGACATAGACGGGGTTGGCCCACTCGAAGAAGCCCCACATGCTCGTGAGCACGAGGGCGAGCGCCACTTTCCACGCCGTCGTCGCTCTCTCGGACGACAGGAAGGCCATGAAGCTCCGAAGCAGGTGCCGGTGCCGCGACACCGGCGCAAGAGGCGACGCGACGAGCAGATCCGACGCAGCCCGTGGGCGACGCGGCACTGGGCAGGTGGCGGCCCACTCCGCTCGAAGCGCGGCCCACCCAGCCGGTGAAAAGATGGAGGCTTCCGGCTCACCCACGAATGCCTTTCCCGCTGCGGAGAGGCGCGTGGTGGCGGCCCGGAGGCTTCGCAGCGTCACGTGGAAGGCGGCCGCTTGGTGCGCAGTCACGAGCTGCTCGATGGCGTCGTCCGACTTATGGGCCACTCGACGCAGCGCCGCGCCGAGCGCTTCGTCGAGGCTCTTGTTGAGGCTCTCCCCAACGGGGAAGGGAGGCGGCAACGGTTCGGCAGGCTGAGTGCCTTTGGCGCCGCCCGTGCCGAGCGCCGTCGCCAGGTCGGTGATGGCCTTTCGGCTCTCTTGCAGCGTTCGCTGGCAAGCGGCTTGCAGCGGCTCGTCCGCGCCCAAGTGCTTTGACATCGTGTGGCCCGCCTGCGCTGCGGCCGTCGCATTCTCGAGCGCGTGGCCGACCGCCACCTGCACGGCCACCTGGAGCTGAGACGCCAGCTGCCCCCGTCGCGGTGAGAAGAAGCGCCACTCGAGCCGTGCTGCACCGAGGGCGGGGCTGAGGGCGGCCAGCTGGCCGCGAATCGTACCCATGCTCTGGGCCAATCGGGCAGGACTGTCGACGTCCACCCGCCTGGCCGAGGTAATGATGGCACGGGCGGCAACGTCGTCGAGCAGCTTGGCTGTGCTGCTCAGCACGGCAGCGGTACCTCGCCGCCACTTGACGCATCCAAAGTCTGGCAGTACGAGGCCGTGAACACCACACGCGACCGCGATGCCGAGTGTCGCCGAGGTTAGGACCGACGTGATGCTCCCCGTGAGGACGACCCACTGCACGTGGAATTGCAGCTCTCTAGTCGGGTATTTTCCGGACCACGGCGGCGCCTGCGAGTAGGGAATGAAGGCAAAGAGGTACGTCATGAGCGCACACACGACGCCGGCGCCGAACCAGGAGGAATCCCACGAGGCGATTGCGCAGTAGAAGACGGCCAGCACCGATGTCCACGCCATCAGCGCCTCCGGGTGGCCGCGGCTGCTGGCAACCATTGCCATCGCCAAGACGCTGCACAAGCACAGCAGCAGGAGGAACTTGATGGAGCCGTCGATCAACTTGCCGTACTCGCTCGGCCCGATATTGGGCTTGAGGGTGGAGTAGGTGAACACCCACGCGAGCGAGCCCAGAGTGCCACGCGTGGGTAGACCGAAGGGGTCACACATGCAGAGCGAGAAGATGGCCGCGCCGACGACCGTGGTCGTCACGGTTCGCACGAGCGTTGGCTGGCGCAGCTTGGCTGACAGCGCCTCCATCATGCTCGGCGTGGGAGGCGAGGTGGTGGTGGCGGTCTTCATCGCTGGTCCTCGCTCTGGACATTGTCGAGTCGTGCGTCCCTGATGGTGTGAGTACAGTCATCAGCACGATCAGCACGAAAACACAAAAATCGAAAACGATCAACGGCGTCGCGGACACGCAACACAAACACTTCGGAAAAACTTTTTCTTCTCTCTTTCTGTCTCTTTGGTGTACCACCCCCAGAGACTCGAGCTCCGAAAGAAAGTCAGAAAGAAAAAGAAGGCGAGGGAGGGGAGGACGGCACGCCACCACACAGAAAGAAAAGAAAGAAAAAAGACAAACCAAGCACCCGCCGGAATTCTTTTTGCTGCGCCATCATCCTCACTGCCGCAACCAACTGTCTGAGGTGTTTCGACACCGATATCGCACGCTGTTCTTCGTGGCGCTGTTCACGCTTCACAGGTTAATGTGCGCCCTGTCGGTGCTGTGCACTCTCTCAATGTCGCTGCTGCGTCCCACGGCAACGTCGCATGCATCATCCTCTATGATGGCCACACGCGCAGCTGCGACGTTGATGGCTGGCGCGGCGCCGTACGACTACACGCTCCTCACCCTGCAGCCGACGTACACAATCCATGACTGGCCAGCCACGCAGCGAATCATGGACGAGTACGTCGCGGAGACCAAGGCGGAGAGGGGCCTCACCTTCTGCGGCTACAGCACGACCCGCTCGAGGCGCGACAGCACCGTCGTTGGCGATTTTGCCGAAGAGCCAGGGGACAAGCTCTTCTGTCGCGACGCCTTTCCCGACGCAGGCGGCCGACTCCCACTGCCGCACGCCTCCGCCACCCACTTCACGCCGCTGCACGCTTCCACAGCACCCGCATTCCCGTCAGATTCGCTGCTCGCGCACCTGTCGAACGTGGAGCCGCAGCGGTCCGCGCTGCTGCAGGGGCCCGCCTCCCTCGACGGCATCGAACTGCACGGCCCCGCCGCCGAGCTGCGCAAGTGCGAGGACGCGCCCGCCCTGCAGGTGGGACCGCCCTCCCCTCTGAAGCATTGCTGCACCTCTTTCCCACTCGCCTCACCTCGCCTCACCCCCGCCAGGGTGCGAGGCTGTTTGAGGTCGACTGCGGGCTGAGCCGGCTCGAGAAGGAGAGCGGCGGCATGCCGCTGCCGCTCCAGCTGGTCAGTCTGCACACCTCCTTCTCCCTCGCCGACGCCGACGCCGCGCGCGCCATCTGCAAGGAGATTGTCGCCACGACCGCCGGCGAGGAGAACTGCATCTATCACGGCTGGACCGTCTGCGGCGACACACTCACGTGCCGCGAGGCGTACGGGAGCGCGGTGGGGCTGGCGCGGCACTGCGAGGGCGTCGCCGCCTCGATAGAGAGGCTGCTCGACGGCCCGGCCACGCTGCGGGAGGGGCAGCTCCACGCGTCGCTCTCGCAGCTCCCCGTCCTAGCGGAGTTCGTCGAGGAGAGGCGGCGCGAGACGGGCTACTGCAGCCGCGAGACGCAGCGCTTCTTCGCGGCCGAGGGTGGCTTCTCGAGGTACGAGGTCCAGCAGTCCATGTTCGGCTTCTTCCTCCGTCGCTGATTCCGCATATGTTGCCCCTGTTGTGGCCGGCACGACTGCTAAGGTGTTGATCTTGAGACATGAGAGAGAGAGCATGCACGATGCACGTGCTTGTGCTGCATGCGTGGCGTGATTTGTTCACGCTGCAAACGCCGATTCCGTACCATGTACGCACCCAGGAGCTAGAACGTTGAAGAGTTCTGTTTTTTACAATTTTCCGGTTACAGCTGTGTGGTGGCGTTGGTTCGATACCCTCAATCCCTGTGGTGGCGTTGGTTCGATACCCTCAATCCCCAATCCCCATGCGCGCCATGCCCAAAAACTGAATACGGCTTTTTACAGAGGACGATGCAGTGACGTGACACACACACACACACACACACACACACACACACACACACACACACACACACACACACACCGCTCACACCCACGCGCACTGGGCCTTGCACTTTGGAATGCCGTGGGGCTCCTGTGACCTGTCGTTAGACGTGGAGACGCGAGGGTCGCCCCGCTCCCCCTTGCCCCACCACCTCGTTCGTGTGTGTGGAGAACTAACTGATCGCCGCGCGTGCTCTCGTGAAACTGAAAAACGTGAAAGTGAAACATCGGGAGACGCGATTCAGACAGCTTCTCTGAATCGCACGGCGACACCACATAGGGCTCGAGGCTGGTCAGTTGGCCGGTTGGGCGGAAGCTCAGAAAGCTGAGGAACTCCATTGACCAAAACGAGGCGCTACTCGACTCGATATCCGGTCCATTCAACAGGGGTGTCGGCGCTGTCAGTATATTCGTCTGACCATGCATGTAGGTTAAAACGTCGCCTGGAACGTTGAGGACCCCAGATTCCTCAAGGCGGGAGGAGAGGATTTCCACTCCCCCGTCGAGTTTCGGCAAGGCAGCCTCCCAGAGCGTGCAAACCTGCCACTCGGAGCACGGCACATGCTTACCGAGGCGAAGGACGTAGCAACTGGTCGTGGCGTGACGGAACTGCAGCACGTGTGAGTTGTTCCGATGCCATTGCGCGCTCGCGGTTTCCATGTCAAGCATGTCTTCGAAGATGATGCCGTCTGAAGGCAACTGCATGACGAGCTGCTCGTGAGGACGTTCAGCGTGATTATCCCATAGCATGAAGCCCGAGCGTCGGCCAACAGTCATCAGGACGTGAACTTCTTCGAACGCCCCCGCCTCTATGTCCGGCGTTGACAGCATCCTCGGCATGCCCCGCCGCATCACAAATGCACGGCATAACCAACGATTTCCGCTCAGCCCTAGGCTCAGCAGGGTCTCCGACTCGTGAGGGCGCTCGATGTGCAAACAGTGCGCCCACGCATTCTCGCTCCCACGTGACGCGTTGCACCAGAACTTGCATGTCAATTCGAGATGAAGCACGTCTCTGAATGTGCACGTCCCTGAAACGAGGATGTGCACCAACAGCTCTGGTGGGAGCAGAGACAGATGGTCGGAGGAGCGGGTCTGAAGGCGCTCCAGCAGTGCCGCAAGCCGCTCGCAGATGGCTGGATCGATGTTGTTTTGGTCTCGTTCCGCCACGCTTACAAAGTGCTCGAGGTCATTGACGCACTCCAGGAGAGAACCGTGAGCGTTGTGCATGGTCCACTTCAAAGAAGAGACGCAGGCCGACCCGGGTATCTTGCTCGGCGTGCGCGATTGGCGAATCGCAAATGTCGACAAATCCGGAACCGAGGTCTGCATTTTGCGGGAGCCGCTGTTCAAGGCCGCGAGGCAGTACAGCAGCGATATCACGCATATGAAGCTGAGCAGCGTCGTCGGGTTCTCACCAATCCCGATGGGTTCCACTCCATACTCGGTGCACCTCGGGCCTTGCCTCGAGAAGCTGCCGCAGTTCAAAGCTCTTGGCATCTCCAAGCCGTCAGATGTTTCGGACTACTGCGACCGGCCGATGGAGGAGAAGATCAGCACCGTCAAGTTGTTTGCCGAGAGTGAGATCAACGCATCCGCCGAGAAAATTCCAGAGTCCTCGCGCAACAAGTTCCAGACGGCGGCGCACGCGTATTTGAACTTTCGCGCGGACAAGCTGACCGAGCTTTGCAACGAAGGGTCGTACGATGCTTCCTTGGCAGAGCGCATTTTCAGCTTCGGAGACGGCAGCGACGGCGACACCGGCACGACTTATCCGGATTGGATGAAGTCGCCCGAGATTCAAGCGCTGGCGAGCCCGTCCAAACTCGTGGGTCTTACACAGACGTCGTTGGTGGGTCGAGGACGGGGCGAGGGGGTGCAAGCCACTTTGCGCTTTGACTCGATTATCCTAGATCGGACGACGCCAGCCGCTAGCCCGGCTGCAGCAGCCACCGGCGCCAGCTCCTCCGCTGCCGCAGGCTCCGGCGCCGGCGAATCGGACGCCCACGATTCGGGTCTAGAAGACGGTTCAAGCGAGGACGAGCAGCCCCTGGTGAAGCGGAGACGGACGCCAGTGGAGCGCTTCCCCGCGGGGGCTGCTGAGGGAAAGAAGCCGGCCGGACGGGACAGCAAGAAGCCAGCAGCCGCGTCAAAGCCTAAGGGCAAGAAGGGCAAGGTGGGGGACAAGGCGGTGCAGCCTCAGATCAACCTGCGGACCGGCAAGCCATACGTGCGGGGGGGCCCCTACACCAAGAAGTCGGACACGATCCACGGGCTCAAGGCTGGGGCCAGGAACTCGAACCCGAAGGAGAAGACGACGGCGCAGGCCGCCAACGTGACAGTGGAGGAGCTTGCTACGGAGAGGGCCGATGCAATGCTGGTCGAAATGCAAAAGGAAAAACTCGAGAAGCAGCTGGCGGACGCCAAGGCGGCGCTCACAAAGCTCAAGAGCGAACAGGAGGAGGCCGAGAGGGAGTACCAGTCCAGGATGTTGCAGGCCGCGAAGGAGACCGCCGAGCAGCTCCGGGCCGAGTTCCAGCGCGGACTCGAGATGGGCGCAAGGCTCGAGATGACTGCTGCCTTCCCCGCCCCACACTAGGTGAAGGAGGCGAGGCGGCACTAGATGGCGATGGGCGGTGAGGACAGGAACTGGACAGAAAGAGAAGCGGCGAGGACTTGCCCGCCGAGCAGAACAACACCGCGCCCCTCCCTCGCTCGCCCCACCGCTCTCCGCGCGCCGCGAATGGCGCAGCAGCGCTATTCGCGGCGACGACTCGGCGCTTGTCCGGCGCCGTGACCTTGGTATGTGTGTGTGAGAGATGTCTAACATGTTTTTATGACATCTGGGGTCGCACGGGGTCGATTGTTGCTCACGCGGCTCCCCGAACGGCCGTTCCGTCCCGCCGACCCCCGAACGGCGAACCGCGCGTTTCAGCAGCGGCGCCAGTTCGACCGTGCCACGCCACTGTCGGACCGTGGCGACTTCGGCGCGGCTTTTTGGGCTCAGGCCGGTCAGAATACACCACTAGTAGGTGCTAGGTACCCTCACAGCCCCTCGCTAGGCTCAGGGGGCGCCGCGAGGCGGCCGAGACGCAATTCGCAGCATATAGTCAGACGGAATCTGCCGAGCTTCCAGGCGGGCCTGCGACGGCAAGTTTGCCGACTGCGCCAAGTACGTGCCGCTACCCGCGACCGCCTCCGACGCTACCGGCCCGTCTCAGCCCGCCTCGCCACCTTCGAGCCGGCCTGTTCGCTCCAAGACGAGCCCGGGCGGCTCGCAGCACCGCGGAGCTCCGGTTTCCCTCGCCGCCGAGCCGGCTTACGCGCCCGTGGAGGAGATGCGCGACAGGACCGACCAACGCTACGACCTCAAGCGGCGGCGGACGTCGGAAGAGGCGGTGGGAGAGCAGCGGCCTCCGCGGACTGGGCGGCCGATGCGGTCATCGAGGCGGATGGCAGGACGAGGAGCGGGAAGCTCGGCTTCGAGCAGGCGGACGGCCGCCTGATGGAGCTGCTCGTCCTCGCCTCCGCCTCCGCGTCGCCGGACGCGCCGCTGTCGCTGCAGCTGGAGAGGTGGCTGGCAGTCTGGGCCAAGCCGCCGTTGCGTGTGCGCTAGGAGCGGCACTGAAGCCGTACTGACACACAGTTCTCCTGCGTTTGCTCGCGCAGGTGGTGGCGAAGTTGCTGCAGCGGCCGGAGCTACTCACCCCTCCTCACCCCGGCCAGGACGACAAGACGGCCGACGGCGAGATACGTGGTTCGTCACACGGCGCGCGGCCGGGAGGCGAAGAACCCACACTCGAGAAGTACGAAGAACGTGCGGCCCGTTGGCCGTTGACGCTCGGTGCCAGTCGAGTGGGTCAAAACTTGCACGAGCTCAACGGCGAGTTTGCCATCTTCAAGGCTTTGCCGAGCGAGCAAGACCGCGTCGCCGCGACGCGCCTGCCTCCCCGTGCCAGAGCTCAAGTGGGAGAAGGAGGAGGGTGGCAGCCTCTCTTCCACCTCGCGTGCGGGCAGGTTTGAGGACGTCTGCAAGTAGATAGCATAGGCTCAGGCGCGCACATTACGTAGCGGGTACACCGCGCGCGCGTGATGGTATGTGTGCCCTGTGTCTCTTGTTTGTCTGGTCTGTGCCTGTCTGAGTGAGGTGGTCTCTCAGTGGCCTTTACCTAGAACAAGAAACCTACACAAACTAGGCGGATTGCATCACGTGGATCGATATAAGATTCATTATTTGGACGCATCCCAGAAGTGACGCGAAGGCCCACACGAATGCAGGCCAGAGTCTTACCTCTCCTGCAAGAACGCAGCGGTCTTGGAGCTTCCCCGTCACGTTCCTGCCGCATCTTATCCGTGGCGACGCGCTGTGCCATCGAGCCGTACTCGGCCGCGACGCGCGTCGAGGCACGCTGGACCGACCAAGCAGCGACGCCAAAGCGTCGACCGATAGAGCGCCACGCCCAGCAGTATGGGCGTCGACCGCTCTCTCGAGCGGCCGCGTGGTGGTGCGTGGCGCGGACGTCACGGGCGGCAAGCGTGGAGCCGCTGGAAGAGCCGGTGCGAGCCGTGGACGGCAGACGCTCCCCACGTCGCCGAGAGAGGCTGCGGGAGAGGGTTCAGGAGGCCACCGGAGGCGCCGGGAGGCTCGGGAGCCGCTAAAAAGTGGCCCGGGCACCTCGCGCCAACCGTCTGGTGGGGCCAGGTGGGCTCAGGAATTAATCCAGGATTTTAAGGTGATCCACTACACCTGACCGAGAATTGGCTGGGCACTGTCAGAGTGCGGGAGGAGCACCCATAGCCAGCGGGCGTGTGCAAGGCATTCTGCGGGCTGATGGAAGGGGGTGGGCGGAGCGTGGAGCCGAGCGCCTGCCCGCCAACCTGTCATGCCCAGCCGATCCAACCGTACGCTGGGCTGTCCCGCACCTGTCCCTCGTCAGGGCACCTCAACCTCCGCCCGCACCTGAGCAGGGAGGTGCGTGTGTGCGACTGTGTACGCGTTGCGAGTGGAGAGTGCGAGAGGAGGCGCGCGTGGGAGGGCTCGCGCACCGAGTAGAGGAATGGCGGCATATACACGTGGGCGGCCGCGGTCGGCCACGGCCGCAGCCCTGAGAAACCCTTGTCAAAAAGGCAGCAGGCGGCGGGCGCCTCGTCGCCTCCCACCCGAGCCGGCCTGATCGTGTCCTCCCTGCGGCCGGGAGCCGGCGGGCGGCTCGCGGCGTCGCCAGCCGCGGCGCCGGCCGGCCGCACTCCTTGGCCTGCTGAGTCCAGCCGCGAAAGAGGCGGCTCGGCAACCGAGCCTGGCGCCGGCGGCGCAGTGAGCGGAGAGGGCTCTCGGCGTTGCTTGCGTCGAGGTGGCGGCCCAGTCACGGCTCCAAAGTCTGGGTCCGCCCCCTCGGCGGCCGTGGCGGCCCGGAGACGGCTGCCCATGGCCGCTGTGGGCGCTGGCGGGACGAGGAGTCTCACTCGGAGTGCGGGCAGCGATTGAACTTGCGGGCAGCCTCGCTGTCCGTGAACAAACGCCTCTTCACGGACGGTTTGATTGTGGAAACACCCAATCTCCCCACCCCTTATTCTCCGGTCGCAGCAAGTTTAGCTGGCCGTCCCTAGGCGCCCCCGCGTGTGCTCGAACAGACAGGGGCTGCGGCGCCTGCTCCTCAATAGCGAGCCGTGGGCGAGGCCCACTGCCTGCACGCCGCATGGCCGCATGCTCCCAGCCCGGCGAGCTCACCACGTCGTGGGCGCCAGCCCCGCGCAGAGGGATTCGAGTTGCAATACTGGTCTCTGGAACTATGCGAGGCTGCGACCGGAACTCGGTGAGGGCCATGCTTCAACACGTGGTTGCTCCCAGCGGTCCTCACGGAGTCGGCATCTACCTCTCGACGTACGCAGTCTCGGACTGTGGCACAGTGAGCCATCTAGAGCGGGCCGCCCCGACCCTGACGCATGTCGAGGAGAAGAATTTACCTCACCACGCGACAAATGGTGACGAGCTGCGCCGGCACTCCTCGTGCAGCGTCAACGCGACATGGCGACGCGGAGGGGCGGCACTCAGGGCGCTGCAGATCGGACCATTCCGCGAGGAGGAGGTGAAGCTGCCGCCGCATCGATTCGAAGGCACACGAGGCAAGCAAAAGCTTCTCGGACACGGCCTGCTAGAGCGGCTCGGCTCACAGTACCGCCTCCGGCGGCGAGTAGCGGCGCTGACGGCGGCCGACGCGCCGGAGGTTGCGTTGCTGGTGCGCCCCGACATGCAACCCTGCTCCACGTGGCAGTTTGTGGAGGCGGCTCCAGGGCAGTGGGGCCTGCGAGTACGCGGCTGCTTGAACGCGTCATTGGACTACATCAGGCTGAACACCACCACCATTGTGCTGCCGCGCTCCCGCAAGCACCCAGGGTTTATCGATGACACGATCGCGGCGGGGACGCTTGGCGCGATGCACCGGCTAGTCGCGTTCCATGCCGCGCTGCAACGTGGCATCTACTCAAACATGAGCATGGCCGAGCTGAGCGCGGCACTCGGGGACCGGCCAGGCGTTGAGCACGGCATCTTTGCAGAGGGCCTGCTCGAGATGCACCTGAGGCGCGCAGGCCTCCATGTGCGGACCACGGGCTTCGACAAGAAGCAGGCCGGACGGTGGGAGATGGGCGAATGTGTGGATCCGCTTGAAGCAGCCCGGCGTAGAAGGCGAGGTGCGGCGCAATCGACCAAAGTTCCCGCTTCACACGTCGCCGCGCCAGGGCCGTCGCTGAGTCCACTGCCCTCACCCCGGCGGCGCATTACGCCGCGCCCTCGCGGTCGGGCGAGTAAGCAGTAAGTCCGGCTCTTAAATATGGACACTACGAGTGTGAATGCCACTCTCCAGGTCCAGCCCAGCGCCTTTGCCGGACTGCCACGTAACTGGCACGCATGCTCTCTTGCTACGGTGGCGCGTGCCAACGCACGACGCAGGTCGCAGCCTGCGCCTCACAAACTAGAAAACACTGCCACTGGCGGAGCGGCGAACCGGCGTTCTTTAAATGCTTTTTATCTCACACTGGGGCGACGTACACGGCTCTCTCTCTCTCTCTCTCTCTCTCTCTCTGTGTGTGTGTGTGTGTGTGTGTGTGTGTGTGTGTGTGTGTGTGTACACAAGAGAGGGCTCACTCATACAATCTTCGTGGATCGCGGTTGCGCTCCAAACGCCCGCGCCACCTTGGCGGCGCGGAGCTGTGCCAACTGTGCCGACCGACGCCGGCAAAAAACGGCTGCGACGGCTGCGACACCCAACGCCGCCGCCAGCCAAGCGCCGCCCCACCTCGCCGGCTGGTCCGGCCCAGAGCGCGGCAAACGCGTCGCGAGCTCTGAATCGGCCGCTCCCTCGCCGCCCGCCGCCGCCGCCGCCGGTCGGTCCGCGGCTTGCTGCCCGGGCGGCGAGCGCGCTGCGCCCCGCGGCGACAGCGGCGGCGTAACCTCCTCCTCCTCCTCCGGCTCGGGCGGCGGCGCGGCGAGCGGTGCGTCCGTCTCGTGCTCCGTCGGCGGCGGAAGCCCCTTGGAGAGAGTCGGGTCGCCAGGGAGGAGGTGGCTGGCGATCGGCGGCTGTGCGGTGGCAGCACCGCGCGAGAGCAGCTTGGCAGCCATCCAGCGGTCCCACGCGGCCAGCGCGTCGGGGTAGAGGGCCACGTCGAACTTGCGCGCAAACATAGAGGAGGAGCGGAACGCCTTTTTCGCGAGCGACGCGTTCAGCACCATCGGGCCGCCATGGAACTGCGGCCCGACCGTCGCCCAATACTTGTTTGCGTCGCCGTGCATCTGCGGCCACTCGATGAAGCGCAAGTGCGACGGGATGACGGTGCGGCGCATCGGCGAGTTGATCGCAACCTAACTCACTCACTCGGACCCGTCAACGGATTCGTCAGGGCGATGGTGGCGGCGCTGCGCCAAGGGTCGCTGCCGTCTGCAGCAGCGCCTCGTCGGGCAGCAGCGTGTTCTCCATCGCCGCCTAATTAATAACGAATTAACTATTCATTAACTACTCATTATTAGCAGCGTGTTCTCCATCGCCGCCGTCGCGCGGCGTGCGGTGCGGTGCTCTGCGAGGTGCCGCACGAGGGAGAAGTGGAGCGAGGCCCACTGCGAGCCTAGTGAGTATTGACAGCTCCTGGCTCTAGAGAGCAGCTGTGAACACCAACAGGCTGCTCGCCGTGCACGACGGGCGGCGTGTCACGGTTGGCGCACCTGCAGCGTGCACTGAAATTGAGTGCAAAGCACGAGACACCATATACACTACGAATGCAGCGGAGTACAGCGAGTACAGCGGAATGCAGCTGAGTACGCGTCGGCTCGAGAGTGCTAACTTGAATGCGCGGATCCGGACTCCCCATCTAGGCTCGAGATATGGGGAGATATGGGGAGATATGGGGAGATGTGGATCCGGACTCCCCATCTAGGCTCGAGATATGGGGAGATATGGGGAGATATGGGGAGATGTGGATCCGGACTCCCCATCTAGGCTCGAGATGTGGGGAGATATGGGGAGATATGGGGAGATATGGGGAGATATGGGGAGATGTGGATCCAGACTCCCCATCTAGGTTGGTGGCGCACTGCAGCGGCAGCGCGGCGTACAGGATGGGTGGCGTGCGCGACCAGCAGCACTTGCTCTTTCCGATCACCTGCTTGGCCTCCGGCAGCTTGCCGTCGGGACGAGTCACCAGGAAGGCGGCGCCTGGGCGCAGCTGCCGGTGTGAAGAGGCGCTGTCACAGTTTGCCGTCACGAGCCGCCAGCGGCGCCTTCGTCGCACTCGACCCAGCAGTAGCCGCGGAATCCGGCGTGCATCTTGTACCTCCGCGGGTCGCGCTTGCTCTCGACGACGCTGAGGATGGAGCGGCCGGGGAAGGCGCCGAAGAAGCTTGCAATCTCCCCATGCGTGCGGACGGTCAGGTCCGCGTCGCCGAGGTTGATCAGGTACTCGAACCTGCGAGCGGCCGCGGGGAGGGCGTGAGGCCGCCGCCCTCCCGCGTGCGCGTCTGCGGCGCGGCCGGCGGTGGCGTGCTTGCAGCTCGCATGGCCGCTCCGATGATTGTGTGACCGGTCGTGCCTCGCTCCCTCGTGTGCACGCTCTGCGGCGCTGCTTGCAGCGCGGCGGTTGCAGGTGGCAGGGTCGCTGCGAGTCTGCTGGCGATGCGGCGGCTGAAGCGGCGGCGGCGGCTGTTGTGTGCACGTGCTGCTGGGTGCGGGTTGCTGCCGTGGCATCTACGGCCGTTAGACCGCAGCAGGCGGCGCAGCAGCGAGTGGATCGCGTCGAGCAGGACGAGCATCATGGACCAGCCCGCCCACACGACGTGGCGCCGCCGGCGGACAAAGTAGACGTCGGGGCGCGACGAGACGGCCGCGCGCAGCGCCTCCGCCGCGCCAGCCTCCATCTTGGCGTCGATGTGCACCAGAAAAAGGTTCGACTCTCTCGAGCCGCGCGAGGCCGCCTCGAGCGCGCCCGGCACCTGCAGCGCGTGCACGTTGCGGTTGATGGTCTCGTGGGCGTACGGCCGGCTCGCGAGCAGCAGGTACACGTAGCGGACCGCCGGACCGGACCGCACGGCGTCCGCGAGCGGCAGTGGCGAGAGCGGGTCGATGAAGAACTCAGGCAGCTGCGACTGCCGCCGCAGCCGCCGCTGGGCGGCGCTGTTGCACAGCCTGGAGAGGGAGGCGTTTGGGTCGAGCGGGTGGCCGGTGTAGTCGTGGACCTGGAAGGGAGAGCCATCCATCCGACAGCGTTTGGTTGTCCTTCCGCGCCGCTCCGTCGCAAGAGCAAAAAGAATTATGTCCGTTTTCATTTATAATTTTCCGCCGCGCCGCTCGCGCCGCCTCGCCTCCGCCTCCTCCACCGCCGTTGCCTTTTCCCCGCCTCCTCCTCGTCCTCCCCACGCTCCTCGTGTCTCGCTGCGATCACATCGCTGCTCCGTCGCGGCCGTCGAAGAAGAAGCTTGGAGGAACTTAATAAAAAAAATGCGTGCGGTTTCCTCCAACCGCCGCCTCGGGGGCCGGGCGAGAGCGGTGTCGTGCGCGCGCTGCCGGTGAGCTTGCCCCGACATCTTAATACATGTACGCCGCCCCGACCGAGGCGTCGTGGTCGAGGTCCGCCAAGCTGACCGAGTTCCAGCGCGTCAAGGAGGCCGTGCGTCGGCTCGAGCACACCGCGCGCGAACAGCTGGCGCTCGAGCGAGAGAGCCAGAACGTCTTTGACTTCCTCAAGGCAGAGATCACGCGGATCAAGCGGTCGATCGGCGCGCTGTCGAGCGTGGTCGACGAGGAGCTGGTCTCTCTACGCGGCGAGTGCGCCGCGCTGCGCGACGAGGTGGCGCGTGCAGTCGACCTCGCAAAGTCGCAGACCGACAGGTGGGCCTCTCACGCACTGCAGCTCCACCTCTCCTGCCCGCCGCCGACACGCCCTGGCACCGCGCCGGCTCACCTCCACCCGCCGCCCGCTCCCTCGCAGCGCCGTCGAGCTCATCGCCGAGGCGCGCAAGCGGGACACCGAGTGGATGCAGACCTCCTTCTCGCAGGTCAAAGACTCGGTGGCCAGGCTCGAGGCGGAGTCCAAGGAGACGCGCAAGCAGCTGCTCGAGCTCGCCGCATCGCACGCCTCCGCCGCCGCGCGCCGCGAGGCGGACGCCGCGAGCAGCAGCAGCGCGCAGCAGCAGGCGATCGACGCGCTGCAGGAGCGGTTTGCAGAGCGAAGCGGGGCAGTCGAGGCGTCCTGCAAGGCGCTCGCCGCCGAGAATGGCACGCGGCGGGACGAGTCCGTCCACCTCGCGCGACTGGCGACCGAGGCCAACACGCAGATCGAGAGGCTGACGCACGGGCTGCGCACCGTCCACTCCTCGGTCGAGGCGCTGCAGGCCAAGGGCCAGGCGGAGCGCGCGGCGGCGCAGGAGGAGCAGCAGAAGCGGGAGCAGGCGGCGGGCGAGCGGCTCGCAGAGGCGCAGGAGGGGTCGGCGCGCGAGCTGGCGCGACACCGCGACGCCATCTCCCTGCTGGTGGAGACGGTCGACTCGCTCACACGCGAGTCCAAGGCGGGCGACGAGGCGCTCGGCGGCAAGCTGGCCGAGGCAGCGGAGGAGGCGGACTCTCGCGGCGCGGCGCACGAGCGCGCGCTGCGGCAGCAGGAGGCGGCGGTAGGCAGCCTGTCGACAGACGTCGACGCGGTCAGCGACGCGGTGCGGAGGCTAGAGGCGAGGCTGGGCTCGCAGCAGGAGCAGCTGCAGGCGGTGGGTGGGAAGGGGGCGGGGACGGCCGAGCAGCTGCTCGCGCTGCAGGAGCAGCAGGCCGACCTCAAGGCCCAGCTCTCGCAGGCGCAGGCCGCGCTGCGCACGATCAAGGCGTCGGCCAAGGACGCCGCCGAGAGCCTCGTGAGCCACAAGACGCAGTCGCAGCGCGCGCTCGACGACCTCGTCAAGCGGTCTGAGGGCTTCTCCAAGGCAGCCGCCGTCTTTGCCGACGCGCTCAAGGTGCCTAACCCGCTCGGCGGCGCGCTGCCGATGCCGCGCCGCGTGTCGCACGGCTTCGGCAGCCCCTCCAACGGCACGCAGCATCACTTTTCGGAGCTGTCGTGACTGGGCGCCGCGTGCCTTGCCCGGGAGAGTGATCGCGCCTCCCGTTGCCTGCTCTCTCGTGCACAGACCCCGTGTATGTCTCCCCGCCGCCATGTGTTTTGCATGCGCACCTCCGCCTCTTGCTGTATTGACTTTTCCTACCGCGCTACCCGCCATCATACGGACCCTGAGTCTCCTGAGTCCACAGTCCTGTCCTGGCGCTCCTGCCGTGGTCCCAGAGGCTCCAGGTGTGTGCGAGCATATACTGTCGTCTGACAGTCTGTTCAACAGAGTATAGTCAGTAGAAGGGTCTGACCTGGGGGCCGATGTGTCCAAGTGCTGGTCGCGTGTGGTTTAACCTCACCCCGCGCGCAGATGTCGCGGATGTTGCGATCCGATGGCTCCACGCTCGCAGCTCAGCGCGCCGTCGACGCCTTCTCAATCACAGCCCATTCCGACGATGCCAATGTCAGCGTGGCCACCTTCTTGAAGATGACGTACGGATCGTCGCCAGCGCTGTAGTAGGTGAGTGCGGCGCAGTCATCCTCCGCGGAGCACAGCTCGCCGGCCACGTTGAGGAAGGCGCTCTCGGAGGGACAGTCGTCGCCGCAGTAGGACTGGTAGTAGTAGTTGCTGTACGTGCTCGTGCTCGCCCCCGACTTGGTGAAGTACAAGGCCAGGCCGTTCCCGTTGACCTTGTACGACTGGTGCGTGGTGTAGCTTGCCATGTAGTCGATGAGCGAGCATGCAGAGCTCAGCGTCCAGCCCGAGGCGCTCACCCACGACCCGTCGAAAGCGCACGTCGCTGCATCGGTGTCACCGTTGGTTGTGTAGTCGCCGTCTTGGTCGTACCCGCTGAGGCAGGTGACGGCGCATTCCGTCCTGAGGAGGTGGCCTGTGCACGCGCTCGTGTCGACCCCGCCGCCCACCGCATCGCTGAAGATGTCGCAGTACATCAGCGACGACTGATCAAACTGGTACCACACGATCGAGGTGTACGTCTCCGAAGTGGTCGCATCGCTTTTGAACATCACGAACGGCGTCGCAGCGCCGCTGAAGTAGACAAAGCCGACGCACCCCGAGACTTGCGTCCAGCACATCTCGCCGGCGACGTCGAGGAGGCCAGCCTCATCGCAGTCGCCGCAATGTGTCTGCAAGTACTTGTTCTGCGACGTGTACTCGGTGCCGTCAGCGGCGGTGAAGTCGACCGCGATCGTGGAGCCCGAGACGGTCGCGCCCGCCGTCACGCTGTACGAGTGGCTGTGGTCAAAGTGCAGGCACGTGAGCGCCCAACCGGACGCACTCGTCCAAACGCCACCAACGCACTCGACGGCGTCGGTGTCCTGCACGCCATAGTCGCCGTCATCGTCCCACCCTGTTGCGCACTTGACGGCGCACTCGGTCCCCTCGACCGTGGCGGTGCAGTCGGAGGCGTCAATCTTCGAGCCAAAGTACTCTGGAGCGTACTCGCTCAGCGCGCCGCAGTCGTAGAAGGTGGTGATCTCGCTCGATCCCGACGTCGCGGAGAGGGACATCGGAACGCTGCAGCAGCCGTCGTTCGTCGCCACCGCCACGAGGTGCGACTCCAGCAGCGCCTGAAGGGTCGAGAGCGAGTCGGTATCAGAGTCCGCCAGATTGGTCGTCTCGCCCTCATCCACGGTGAGGTTGTACAGTTGGAACTCGGTGTGCCAGTGATCGTATTCGCTGTAGATGCCCGACGTAGCGATCCAGTTGGCGTTCGTAGAGTCCTGGAAGATGAGCTTGATGTCGTGTCGGATGACGGCGATGTCATGCGCAACCTCCGCAATGATCTCGGTCCTGTCTAGTGAGGTGGTGCTCCCGTCCGCAATCGCCTTCCAAGAGACGCCGTTCGTGTCATACGTGCCGCTTAGGCCGATGAAGTCGAAGATGGTCGGAACGATGTCGATGGTTGAGACGAGCTCGTTCACTGTGGTACCGGCGGCGATCCCGCCATCTGGATAGCGCACGTGGAGGAGCGTGCGCACGCCCCACTCGTAGACCGTCGCCTTGGCGTGGCCGTTGTCACTAAACACCATGATCATTGTGGCGTCGAGCGCAGCCCTCTCGTCCAGAAAGTCGTACATGGCGCCAAGGGACTCGTCGACCCAGTTAATGCCCGAGCACAACGAGCGATCGCTCGTGCCGCTGCAGGACCCCGATGAGGAGCTCCAGATTGTGTTGCGGGTCGCCATGGTGCAGGTGGAGCACAGGGACGAGAAGTCGGCGGTAGCGGTCATGGAGCCGTCGCAGGCCTGAGCCCAGTCGTCGGTGATCGTGCCCGCTGGAGTAGCCGCGCAGAAGTACGGACCGTCGTTCCAGGTCGTGAGCGAGTTTGCGGCGTCGGAGCCGTGCGGCACCGTAGGGTTGACGTAGGCGAAGAAAGGTTGCGATGCGTCCAAAGCGTCCGCCATGAATGTGATGGCTTCGAACGTGAGCCACTCCATGTTGTGCGAGAAGGAGTCGCTGCAGGTCGTGCCACAGTTGTTGAGGTTTGCGATGAAGATGGCTTCGGCGACATCGAATCCCGCCTGCTGCACCACTTGCTGCGCGATGGCATAGTCGCACTCATACTCAGTGCTGCTGTACTCGCAGCCCATCGCATTCAGGTCAGCTTCCGCGGCAATGTGCCACTTCCCAAAAGCGCCTGTCCGAAAGCCGACACTACCCAGCCCAGCTGCCAAGTTGTGCGAGCTGTCTGCGCCCGTGAGCTTACTGTAGGGGACGGTGACTCGCGTGTGCGTGTCCGCGTAGTTGCTGGCGGTCTTGCCGATGGCATGCTCGCCGCGGCTGGCGTATCTACCCGTCAGGAGTGCGACGCGCGACGGCGCGCACAGGCCGCTCGCCGAGTACGCGCGGGTGAAGGTCGCTCCCTCCAAGCCGATCCTGTCGATTTGATACGTTGCCTCGTAGGAGGTGGTGGGCAAGTCGAAGCCAGGGTCAGCTGGAGAGTGCCAGTGGTCTGAGTAGGCTTGGTACATATCGTCCGGCTGAAAGAGGAGCACGTTGGGGAAAGACGTCGAGTAGATCGGTGCGACTGTGCCCGACGCGTTGTTGATCGAATTTGCTCCCGCGATGTATGTGTCTACGACGCCTGAACGGAGGCCGCCCTCGTCGCTTGGTGTGGAGCTGTCGAGATCGACGCTGGTGCGGGTGTATGCGGCGACAGACGCCGACGTGTCACAGACGGGGAGCCAACTGGCGACGCCTCCTTCCCAGTTGTTTTGATTGGCCCCCGAGGGCTTGCAGCCGAGCGAGCAGAGGGGCGTAAACGGAAAGAAGGAGCTCTCAACGGGGTCGCTCGTGGGCAGGGGGCTCGCGCGAAGGCTAGCCTGGTCAGTGGTGTTTCCGCTCATGTAGTAGCGGTATTTGAAGACGTCGATGCTCTCGTCATCAGAGTAGTAGCCACTGAGGTGCGCACATAGGTCGGGTGAGAGAACGCCGAGGTAAGAGGAAACGAGTAAAGGGCAGGGGAGGGCGCACTTGCACGCGTCCAGGCAGTACACTTCATGAGCGCCCGTCTGGCCACATTTGATCATCTGCACCCCATCTGGGCCAAAGGGACCGTACACGGGAAAGCCATCGTACATCCAACCCACCTGGGGGCTGTGCTGCCCGATGTACTGGCCCAGCTGCGCCAACAAACACGTCGGCGGGATGTGGTAGTGGTACTGGAATCCGGCTGACGATCCGCTCGAGTGGCCTCCACACCGATCGAACGTCTCACCCTCCGCAGTGACGGCGTTCGAAGTCTCGCTCATCACATCATCCTCGTCAATGTCCCCGTCCCCATCATAGTCGTACGAGCCTGCCCAAGCCGTGTATATCGCCACCCCGTTCAGGGTGAGCCCCACGTCTCCTCCCTGCTCTGACAAGTCGGTGGCTGCGGCGAGGGCGTCCTCGTACGAGGCACCGTTGAAGAAGGGGTAAGCAGGGATGCTGACCTGTTCACAGAAGGGCGGTGTGAAGAGACGCGCTCGGGGAGGGCGGGGTTTAGGTGAGAGTCCGTGGGCCGAGTAGCTCTGCCCGCCAGCGCAGTTGAGGTTGACCGGGTACCACTCATGGTTGGGGCACCCTCCGGCCACAATGTTTCGCCGAACCGCCTTCGCACCTGCTGAGTTGGTGTGATGGACGCTGCCACCAAAGCTCTCTTCGTACCAGGCGTCGCTTCCGTCGTAGGCGCAGGCAGCCTCAACGTTTGCGGTGCACAAGCACGTCTCGGGGTCGTCGTCATCCAAACATCCCACAGCTTGGGGCGGGGGCGGCGGGGGCGAGGGCGGAGGAGGAGGCGAGGGCGGCGGCGGAGGCATTGGCGGTGAGGGCAGCGAGGGCGGTGGTAGTGGCGGCGTTGAGGGCGGCGAGGGCGGGCTCGGCGGTGGCGGACTCGGCGGTGAGTAGCATTCGTCGCAGCCCGCACAGTTGTTCACCCAGCTGCACTTTGCATCCCAGTCGTTCGAGTTGTTTTCGCACCAACTCTGGCAGGGTGGTGGTGGAGGGGGTGACGGCGGCGCATCGCACGAGTCATCGAGCCGCCGCCGGCGCGCTGCGTCATAGCCGGCAGCCTCGAGGGCGGCATACGCTTCTTCCAGCTTGCTCTCGGCTTCGAGGGCGTCGTTGACGGTCAGCGACGAGCAGCGGACAACCGCAGCGCACAGCTCGACCTCGTTGCCGTCGGCCAGGAGGAGGGAGACCTCGCCGTTCCACACGCGCAGCTCGGTGGCAAACCCAGATTGGATGCTGAAGGCGGTGGCGGTGTGGTTGTGCCACTGGACGCCGTCGATCAAGAGCCCCGCCGTCACGCGGCCTCTCCTCGGGTCCTGGTACGTTGCGGTGATGCCTCGCACGCCTTCGAGCTGAGTCCAGTCGAGCACGGGCGCGGCGAGAAGGGGGACAGCGGTCTCGGCCGGGGACACTTGCATCACTTTGCCAGACAAGCTAACGAAGGTGGATCCTTCAGCCTTGGTGTCCTTGTACACGTGAACTACCAGCGTTGTGAGGCCAGTGACACCGCCGAGGAGCAAGAACAGTGTCAGCGTGGCCAAAGTTAGCGCCTGCGATGTGAACGTACTGTAACGAGACTGAGAATATGGCGGGTGGGGGAGGGTAGGCATCACTGTCACCGCTGCTGCGCACTGCAGGGAGGCGCTTTGAAAGCCAAGGGGCAGGGCTGGGGCGCAGCGACAAGGGGCAGGGCTGGGGTGCAGCCACCGCTTTGAGGTATGACGCGCGCTTTTGTGCCTCTGCCGCAGTGCGATTTGCTTCTGCCACCTCAGCAGCGTGAGCCAGGTGGCTCTCGAGGGCCATGTTGTGCATGTAGCAAAACTCGTCCTTGTCTAAGAAGCCTGAACTGTCGCTATCCATGAGGTCAAACAGGTTCTCTGCGCTGTACGTGTGAGAATCTTTGAGGATGGGCTTGAGCTTTCGCTGCGAAGCAAGATTGTACTGGTGGGCCTCTCCGTTGTCAAAATTGATGGTAACGCCGCTTTTCGGGTCGGCTGCGACGACTGTGCCAGGTCCATGGGCGTCGTGGTGGAACCGCTGCCCTGGCCGAAACTGACGGCTGCGCTGCTCAACGCGTTCGAGCATAGACGGCCGCTCGTTGAGCGAGATGGCAAACTCGACACTCTCGGCGCTCACGTTCTCGTCAGGATGGACGCGCTCTTCCGACATGCTGCAGGCGAGTGCGCCCAGCACCCGAGCTCCACGTTTGTCGGGTCACGTTCGACGGGGTGCAGCAGTCTCACGTTCGTCGGGGTGCAGCGAGCAGAAACGTTCGTTTCGCTTTGCTGAACCCGAATGCTGAGGGCGAGGGCCGAGGGGTACGGAGCCGGAGGAAGAGGAACCCAACTGTAGAAACAAATGAGAGCTCCCACTTCTCCAGAGTTTTTGCAGGTTTTCTTCCTCGCTCTCTCGGCGGGCACATCGCACGGTCACGCCAGTCTCTCCCCCCATGACGGCGAGCTTGGTCGAGCACCCGGTGGTCATGGTGACGTACTTTGGTGCCAATAACAAACGACGACAAAACTGTAATAGTTGTTTGGTATTGCTAAAAATCTCTCTCAAACGACGCGCCATTCCTTTGGTCGACTTTTGTTGGCGCGCGCACACTGGCGCGCACACCACACACGGGCGGCTTTGAAATCCCCTCTGACTTCTTTTTGTTGGACTCGAAGGTTGGGGACCCTGGCGAGTAGAGACCACGCCTCACTTTTTCACAGGGGGGGATCCGTCTGGAAAAAGGGGGTTTCCCTGCGCATGCCCGAGCCCTCGGCGAGGGCTTGTGCTGCGTGGACTCTACTGAGCTAGGGGACCTGTCCCAGCCTCGCGCTTCCGCCACCCAGGAACACACCAATGCAGCACTCGGAGGAGCCAATCGACGCGGTCGTGGCGGCGCTGCAGGCCGAGAAGCCCGTGATCAGCGACGCCGTCAAGACGCTCATTTCTCTCGTCGTGGCGTCGCACGCCACGGCGGCTGACAGGGCGGCGGCGCCAAAGGGAGCTGGAGACCTCGCCATGGTCACCTCGTGTGGCAGAGCCCTTCTCAAGGCCATCAACTCCCACGTGCTGCCTCCGCCGCAGCAGTGGGCGCTCGAGCACCCGCAGGCCGAGCAGGAGACCGCGCTGGAGCGCATAGAAACGATGACGACGTACCGTGCTTGCCACGCCCTCGCGGCTCGCTGCGCCAAAGCCGGTGCCAAGCCGACGCGCATGCTCGGGCGTGGCTTTCTGCGCGGCACCCGTTGCTTGGAGACCGTAAGCGACAGCTGCCGCGCGCAGCTGCTGGAGCAGCGCTTTCCGCCGCCCCTCGTCGACACTTTCCTCGACCGGTTCGGCCGCTCCCTCGACGCGGTGTGCAGACCCTCGCGGCGCCCGCTGCGTCTCGGCCACATCTCGGCCGCACCTCGGCGGACTCTCCCCGCAGGGCAGCGAGGAGGAGGAGGCGCTGGTGTGGGCGGCGGACCTGCCGCGCGCCATCGATGAGCGGCGGAGGGAGAGGCAGCGCGAGGCGAGAGAGGGGCGGGCGCGAGCAGGGCGAGCTCTGTCCCTGCCCATGACGTGTCGAGGACACGCCCCTTAGGTGGAGGAGCGGCGCGAGCGGATGGATGCCGGGGAGGGCGAGGCCGTGGCGCTCCGCGAGGCGCTCGCGGCCATGCGGACAGGCGACGGCGCGGCGGAGGAGAGTCGCATCGAGGATGTGACTGAGGAGGGCTAAGGGAGACCAGGCCGGCGAACTAGCCTTGGGGCTCGCTGCAGCCGTAGCGCTGGTCGCGGTGCGCTGAAATCGCCGGCGATTCGTGAGACACTCAGTGTCTATGCTGACGGAGACGATACGCAGAGACATCAGACATGACACGACTGACGACTCACGAGACAGAGAGTTCGGAGAGGGAGACACTGGCTGAGTGGGCCACAGGAGGGGATGAAGAAAATACATACATGTATAAATTTAACGCCGATACGTGTGCTCTCCCCACACTCTACTTACCACTCTCCACAGACCACACATACAACAAGACGAGGGGCCACAGTGCAACCCCGTCGTGCATGGAACTTTCTAGGGAACTTTGGAACATGCCCGAGGCGCCACGCTCCGCCCCGCGCCGTGCCCTCGCGCTGCCTCCCCCTCAGGCGCAGAGCCGCTTGAACTCGGCGCGCAGCGTGCGCACAAAGACCGAGAAGTCGTTGGTCTGGTTGAGGCTCTCGACCAGCTGCGGCAGCGCCGGCACCTTGACAGAAGGGGGGGGGGGGGGGGGGGCCTGGTAAAAAAAAGGGACGGCCCCCCGAAAAAAAGTGGAACCAAAAAGGGGCAGGGGGGGAGGCGGGTTGTGCTTCCCGCCCCCCCGGCTCCCACTGTTCAATGGGGAAACGGTCGCCCCCCCCCCCCAAAACCAAGAAGGAAAAGGCCCCCCAGGGAACCCCCCCCTATGGGCCCCCGGGGGCAGGCTCACCCCCCCTCCCCTTTGGGAAGGCCCGGAAAGGGCCCGAAGGGGAAAGGCCCCCCCCAATTTTGGCCAAGAAAAACCCCAACCCCTCTTTTTTTCTGAAAGGAAAGGAAGGGAAGGGAAAGGAAATCTCCCCAGGAGTCCCGGCAGTCGGCCCCTCTGCCGCTAACTGCCGCCTCTCTGCCGCCCCTCTGCCGCTAACTGCCGCCCCTCTGCCGCCTCTCTGCGGCCTCTCTGCCGCCCCTCTGCCGCCTCTCTGCTGCGTCTCGCCTCCGACGCGCTCGAAGTCGAGTGCGAGCAGCTGCTTGTACATGGCGCACCCCTTTTGCAGCTCGGCGAGCTTGGACTCCTTGCCTGCCTGCGGGGCACCGGCCAGCAATCCGCTGCAGGGGAGGGGAGAGAGAGAGGCCGGCGGAGGAAGCAGCGGCGGGGCAAGGGCGAGGGCCCATCTCCCGCCTCTCCGCCGTGTGCAGGGAGAGGCGGCCGCCTGCGACTGCTGCAGTGCCGCCTCTCGCTCCGCCATGAGCTGCCGCTGCCTACAGCGGAGAGGATCCGAGATGGAGATCTCGCCGAGATCTCGCCCGTGCGCAGCCGCCGCCCGGTCGACGCTCTTGCTCTCAATCTCGGCGAATCTCGGCGACTACTCTCGGCGGGTCTCTCGCTCTTCGCTGCCCCTCGAGGCTCTTGCTCAGCTTCGCGTGCTCCGCGGGCAGCAGCGCCTCCTGCGAGCTGAGCACCTGCCGCGGGAGGTAGAGTCGCAGAGGTGCAGCCGAGGCGCAGCCGAGGGGCAGCGGAGAGAGCGGCGCCTCGTCGGCGCAACCTCCCGCGATCTCCCGCAATCTCCCGCTGTCTCGAGGTGTGCACCTCCAGCTCCTGCCGCAGCTGCTCCGCCCTGCTCCGCTCCTCCTCCGAGCTCTGCCGCAGCGCGTCGCCGGCCGCCAGCGCCGCGCTGAGCTCCTCCTTCTTGCTGGCGAGGTTCTCTGCGCGCGGCGTGGGAGGAGGGTGGAGGAGGAGAGGAGAGGAGGGGAGGAGGAGGAGGGGAGGAGGAGGAGGGAGGGCGCACCCTTATCGCCCTCGAGCGTGCGTTGCGCGTCGAGCGTGAGGGAGTCGACGATGTGCTTCTGCTCGGTGGTCCAGCGCCGGAGCTGCGCCTAGCGCGGGCAGGCGGCGGCGGCGTCGCAAAGGCATATACGACGCCGAGGGCTGCGTGTCTAGTGGCGAGGGCGACGGGCGACGGCGAGGGCGCTGGCGTGGCGGCGCTGCTGCGCCGGTGAGAGGTCTAGAGCCGAGGAGGCCGCAGCAAACGGCGCGATTGCGAGTGGTGCGACGCCGGACGGAGACGCGGGGGGCGGTGTGGATTGGAGGCGGCGGAGGGCAGGCCTGGCACTCGATCATCTCGGCGCGCATCTCCTCGTCGACGCGGTTGACGACCTCCGCCTGGCGCGGAGGGAAGGCCGCGGCTCGGCGGCGGGCTGGGATAGCGAGCGGACCGCTGCGTGCGCGGACCGCTGTCTCGGCCATCGCACGAGTCCAGCCCGGCGACGGTTAGTCAGAGCGCGCTCGGAAAAAGAATAATTTCCGCCTTTTTACCCTGCGAGAGGGAACCCAGCGCACGCATTATCCGTGGAGGTACAAGTGTTCGAAGAGAGAGTGGACCTGAGAGCAACGATATGACTTGGCGGCAAATGATCGCGGGAGAGAGACGAGATCGACCGGTGTTCGTGTTGCGTGTGGTTGGCGGTGAAAACGGGGCGCGGGGGGGGCGGGCTCCGACGATTAGAAGCGGTGTGCGCAATGATGTGTGATCACCTCTCGCCGGCCTCGCTGCGTTCTTTCGTTTTCATCGCGTGTGGCGCGAAAGGCAAACACTCCCACCTCCCACCAGACCTCCAAGGTCTCGCGCCACACCGTGACTCCTCTGCAACCCCGCTCTCTCCCACTGCGGCTCTCTAGCTATGGCAACCGCTTCAGCCCCAGCACTGACCCGAAAAGCAAGGGGCATGCCACCGGCACCGTGAGGTTGCACGCTTCGGCGCCAGAGCGCGCGCAGCGCAAACAGCTTCCCCCCCACTCCCCCCCCCCCCCCCGACCTCTCCCCAGACCCTCGCGTACACATGGGCAGCCACCAGAGCCCTCAGAGGCGCAAGTCGCGGCCAAAGCCCTGCCCGACGCGCCGCTTCTCCTCCTTTGCCCACTGAAGCAGCTTCGCCTATGGGAGGGTCCGAGAAGCTTCAGGCAAGGCCCTCCTCTCCACCTTTGTCCACTGGATATCGTCTCGCCTGCTCCTCCCGCTTCCTCCTCTCGCTGCTGTACCGCAAATGGTCCGGCAAATTGCCCGCCGTCTGAGCCAGCGAGGAGAGGCCGTACACGCCCCCGGCCATCCCAGTTGCGGCCATGCCAAACAAGCTGCTCGCGGCGTTGACGGTCGCGCCGGCCACGGTGGAGACCGTGTCCGCTGCGCTGCGGATCATCTGGCCAGAACTCTGGTGGGCCTCGATGCGCTGCCGCAGCTTCTCCTCCTCCACCTCGCGGATCCGATCCTGCAGCAGCGCGTCCTCCTCCAACGCGCGCCGCTGCTTCTCGCGCGCATTCTCCTTCTTGCGCCGCCGCTTGTCGGCGAGCTTGCGCGCGCGCGCCGCGGCGGCCGACTCGCCCGACCCGCGCGCCTCCGACGCCTCCTCCTTCTCCGCCGCCTCCCCCTCGTCCTCGTCGTCCTCGTCGTCCTCGTCGTCCGCCCCTTGCTCTCCGGCGCCAAACGTGCGCACCTACCCTCGGCCGATCTCGGGTCATCTCGCAAGCCCTTGGGCGGTCTCAGCTGTGTGGCGCTAAGAGGTGCGCACGTAGCTGCGCGACGGACCGCCCCTCGCCCCGCGCTCCGCGCCCACGCGTCGAATGATGATCCTCTCGCGGCCCTGCTCGTACGCGTCCAGCGCGGGCGGAGGCGGCGGCGGCGCCTCGGGGGCGGCGGCTGCCGAGGCGGGCGCTCTGCGCTGAACCGCCTCCAGGGCCATGCGGTACTGGTTGTAGAGCCGCAGCGTGTCGCCCTCGAGCTGCTCGGGCGGGTACCTGCTTGCAAGAGAAGCGTGTGGGGGGCCTACAGCGGTCTCGGAGCTGTCTCGGAGCTGCGGTCTCGGAGCTGTCTAGGAGCGGCACCCCGCGGCGAACTCGGCGAAGGACTTGACGTGAGGACCGGCGTCGTCGCCCGTGTCCCACGCCTCCTCCGCACCGTCCGACTCGAGCGGCGCCGACGGCGGCGCGGGCGGCGCGGGCGGAGGGGCGGAGGAGCTGCCCGCCTCGCTGCCGCCGGCCGCGCCGCCGCCCTCCTCCTCGTCCTCGCCGCAGAGAGCCTCGACCAGCCTGTCGACCTGCTTGATGAGTCCGAGGCTCGGGATGTCTGGGAGGCCGACCAGCTCCATCGCCTAGAGGGTTCCTAGAAGGTTCCTAGAAGGTGCCTAGAAGGTGCCTAGAAGGAGGCCGACCAGCTCCATCGCCTCGTCGACTGTCGACTTGATGGCCATCTGCGGAGCGGGGGTGGGGAGGGGGTGCGACGAGGGTGTGATGAGGCGGTGGCGGCGAGTCTCGAGCGGCGGGTCTCGGCGGGTCTCGGCGGGTCTCGGCGGGTCTCGAAAACCTTTTTGGAGGGGTCGTCCTCCATGCCGAGCGCACTGCGGATGTACTTGACCTTGTCAGGCAGCTTGCTCGCCAGCAGCGCCTCGAGCTTGGACGGCTTCGCAAGAGCGGGCGGGGGCGGGGGCGTGGTCGACGTGGCGGGCGGCGACGAGGTCGGCGGCGACGCCGTTGGCGGCGGCGACGGCACGAGGGGGCGCGCCGGCGCCGGCGACGGCCCCTGGGACGCCTCTTCGGGCTCGCGCCGGAAGGCAGTGATTCCAATCTTGCCCGACTCGTCGGTGGCGTAGACGACCCCGTTCGGCCCGACGTGGCGCAGCTTTCCGTCGTGGTTGCGCTCCTGCACGCCGTGCTTCCTCGCCTGTGTACATGCATACGCTTCCTCGTCTACCTCCCCTTCTCGCGCTGAGCCGCGGTCCCGCCTCCCTCCTCCGCTCTCCCCCGCTCTCCCCCGCCCTCCCCCGCTCTCCCTCTCTCTCGCGCGCGCGCGCGGGCGGGCGGGCGGGCGGGCGGGCGGGTGGGCGGGCGGGTGGGAGGGAGGCAGGGAGGCAGGGCGGGAGCGCCTGCTGCAGCTCGCGCGTCCGGATGGCTCGCTGCAGCTGCCGCTCGCGCAAGTGGTTCACCTGCGTGCGGCTCCGAGGCGGCTCCGAGGCGGCTCCGAGGCGGGCGGGGAGTCCGCGCGGGGGGCGGGGGTGCACCTTCTGCACCGTGAGGTCGGATGTCTTGCGCGAGGAGCGGAAGAGGGCGGCCGTCTTCTCCTCCTCGAAGAGGGAGTTGTTGAGCAGGCCGAGCTGCCGGCAGAGCGGGTTGCAGATGTGCGACTTCATGAAGAGCATGATGCCGCTGGTGCCGTGGTCCGTCAGCCCAAACATGCACCGCTCGCCCGCCTGGGCGAGGAGGACGGGGTCGAATCACAGCAACAGCCACCGCAGTCACCACAGCCAGACTCGCCCGCCTGGGAGTGGATGACGGGGTCGTTGAGCTGGAACTCGTACCGCTCGCCGACGTAGCAGCCCTGGATGTCGCAGACGAGCAGCTTGGCCGCCCTCTCCTCGCCAGTCTCCTCATCCATGTATGCCCAGTCGATCCCGTCCCCCTCCATCGTCCAGTGAGAAAAGGCCTGGGGCACGTGCTCCGTCCGAACCTTGTCCGTCAGCTCCCACTCCTCAGCGGGGTACTCCGCCGAACCCGCCCACGACGCGTCGCCGCCGGGACGACGCGCGCCGCCGACGGCGCTCCAGCCGTCGGCGTCGGCGCCGGCAGGCGGAGGAGGCGGCGGTGGCGCCGGGCGGACCGACTTGACGACGGTGCCTGGAAGGTTCCGAGAAGGTTCCGAGAGGGTTCGGGGACTGCTCGGCGGTGGGGGCGGGCCGGGCTAGACGTGCCGTTGTTTGTGTTCCACTTTTGGAAGGTTGTCTCCAGCTTTCGCTCGGCGAAGAACTGGTGGGCGAGGGTGGGCAGAGTGAGAGCGGCGGCAGGGGTGAGAGAGGCGGCGGTGAGGAGGGAGGAGAGGGAGGGAGGAGAGGGAGGGGGGGGAGGGAGGGGGGGAGGCGGGAGGATGGCACGCCTGGCGGCGAGTGGGTTGGGTCGTGACGAGGAGGAATGCATCCAGGTACTTGACCTAAGTAATAGTTAATTAATCGTTAATCAATAGTTAATGACGAGGAGGGAAGGCATCCACGGTACTTGACCTTTGGGACGGAGAGGCTCTTCTCCTCGCAGAGCTCGTTGAACTTCTCGGCGAGCACCGCGGCGGTCCGCTGCGTCACGAGCGACTTGTCATTGACTATTAATTAACTATTAATTAGCGATTAATTAGGTCAAGTACCTGCGTCACGAGCGACTTGTCATGGAACTCGAGGTCGTTGTTGTCGGAGATCTTTGCGTGCTTGTCTTCCTTGACGACCCACTCCTCCGACGCCTCGGCCTAACTCATCACAGGGCGGAGGGTCACCCACCTCCCCAGGTACCTCGAGGTCACCCCTCCGTCGGGCCTCCGCCTCGAACGTCTTGAACTGCTGCTGCCGCCCCTGCGCGTCCGGCACCGTCTGGAAGAGCTCCGTGCGGCGCAGGAAGCGCATCATGAAGACGTTTCGCTCGCCGCCCGACTCAAAGGCCCCGTCGGCGATCTCGACGTCGACCTCCCCGATCTGTGTCGCCCGGGCGCCGAAGAGGCCCGGCTCGGGGGACTCGTAGATCTTGGCCTTGTAGTACTTTGTGAAGCGCGACTCGAACTGCTTCATGTGCACCGTCCGCAGCTCGCGCCGCCGCTTGGTGGACGCGGTCGCGGTGCGCGTCGACGTCAGCGACGTGGAGAAGGAGACGATGGACGACTGCAGCTGGTACCTAGAGGAGAAGGCTCCGGGCGGGGCTCAGAGGCAGCGGAGGGGAGGGAGGCGGCGGAGGACCGCAGCGGGCACAAGTCGAGCCGCGTGTTGTTGAAGTGTCCTGCGCCGTCCGGGATCCGGCTCGCCAGCCGGCGCAGGACGTCGAAGTCGCCGGGACTGTTGCCAAAGCCGACGCAGTGGAACTGCAGCCGCCGCCGGTCGGCGCCCAACGCGAGCCACAAGTTCCAGACGTGGTCGCACGCCTTTGGGATGAGAGAGTCGCTGATCCACGTGGCGTAGTCCGCCTCGCGCCGCCGCGTGACTGAGTGGCCGGCCGCCACCACGACCCTCTCCATCGGGTCCGAGGGGCGACCTAGGGAGAGGACATGCGGGAGGGGTGGGGGGGGGCAGGCGGTTCCAGTGCGGCTGCTCGCTCCCCCCGCTGGCGGGGGGCTGTGTGCCGTCCGAGAAGAAGAGCACCGTGGTGCAGGCGTTCTGCACGATCTTCTTGCGCGCGGCGACGCCAAGGCCGTACACCTTCATCAATAATTAGTTAATTAAACAACT